TAATTGTAACAATTTCTAAATCTGTCAATATAGTAAATGCAGGTAATGATATTTACTTTCTCAAATTGAATTCAAACTGTGTTTAGTAGATTTATATATATATATTTTACAAGTTGAACTTTAAAATTTCGATAAGATTTCAGTAAGATATTAGCAAAATATCGAACATTATAAAGCCAATAGCAACCTGATATTTGGTGCGTATTACAATCTATTGGATAGATATTGTATCCAATAGGCCTATTAGACATCTGATACTTATATTGTAAAATATCGGATATTTTGTTAATAGAAGAGTTAGATCTCTAATATAACTATTAGATGCAATATCTATCTGATAGGTAGCAATACTGCTAGCTTTTTAAAATTTTGAAGTTCAACGCATTGAAGTTCCAGACGGTAAGTGATATTTGATTTACTTATAATTAAACAAATTTATTGCTTATTTTATATTGGTATTTAGATTATTAAATTAAGTAAAAAGAAGTTATTGAATTGAGAGCATTCTATTTATGATTGCCATACTTCAGCAATCATTATATATATTCATATATATACAGTATATATCTAAAGAGAAAAAAAACAATTTCGTCAACAACTGTTTTGTAGACAAGGTTGACCAATTAAAGTTAGGATTGGTCTGCTTTATAGTTTAGTGTAGACATATGGGCGAAAATTTCCAATTTTTGTGATTAATAGGTTGAATAATAAGATTAAATAGATTACAGGCCAATAAAATATAAAATATGGCATGATTACTGAGATTAAAAGTGATGATTTGATCAGTGATTGTAAAATTTCTTATTATATCTTATTTATGAGTAGTGATCCTAGAATAACTCAAAATCAGGATTACTGATGAGAAGTACTTATGAGTTTTTATATGCAGTTTAACTATCACTTTTGTTATCACCTAATCACAGTGCTCCAACTGGAAATTTCTGCCTATATAACTAGTATTACCATCAGTTGGGAGCAATTGCAGATGTTGATCTTCGATAGTTAACTTATGTCGGGATTTATAACACTTGTACACGTGATATGATGTCATGAAACTCTAAGCTGAGTCGGGTTTATCACTTAATAGATTAAATTCAACTATTGGAGTAATTTATTATATAACAATAAGATATAATAAATGACAATAATAAAAAGAATATAATTAAACTACTAAACTAATACTACAAATGTGAGAATTCGATTCTTAGTATAAACTTTTTAACTAAGACATTGTACGTTCTAAATTATAAGAGTAAGACTTAGTCTGTCTCAGGAAACATCCTCAAGATGAAACCTCTTCAATTTACTAAGGGCTACTGCATTATTTTTAATCTCATTCTTATCTTCGTAGCAATCAGTCTTCGGGTTATAACAATCTATGTTAGATAGCTAAAATATTTACCACAATTCCACCTCTAATATGGGAATAACTAATTACCGGATTGATCTATCACTTAAGAGCCTCACAATATTCTTGTGGCTCGGGTCATTCAAGTTTTTAGTACTACCAAATCACATCTAATTATAAATTTAACTTCCAGTATTGAACCTCGAAACTGTAATCAAAATTTTAGAATTAATCCTTAAGATATCTAGCTAGAAAATAAAATAAAGCGAAAATTAGCCTTAATTATTACAAAGAGGCTACATTAAAATATATAAAAAAAAATCAAATGCGAATTCAGTTTAGATCTTTAAATAAGCCCATCTAAAAAAGTGCCACCCAGGTAGAACCCAGGTGGGTTATAGCTATACTATAATCCCGGAACACTTGAGAACTAGATTTATAAAAGACATGCTAACATCTAAGTGTTTTGCAATTTCTGAAATAACAAGTTTTTTAATTATTCACTATCATATTTCTATTGAATTTATTATGCCGAAATTATAAACTTAACTAAAACCAAAAAATTATCCAGCTAATTTTTATCAATCTCTTGCATCTATTGTTTAAAGTTGGACCGTGAGTATCAACCTGGGAAACCTAAAAAAAAACGTGGCCCACCTCCCGGGCAAGAAATTATAAGAAGTCAAAATAGTAGGTTGGAAAGCATCATTAATGATGCTGTTAGGGATTCAAAAAAATATGAAGCATTAATGAATGTTGAAGGAATAGAACCTGAAGTTCGACATGGAATTGATTTATTAAGATATAGAGATGAAAATAAATTTCAAGTTGATTCTCTTACTAGATTAAGACATGTACCACACTCGGAAACTGGTCTTCAAACAAGAACTTCAATTATTAGGATGTTCCAGGAATTATAGTTATAGTAGTTAGATTCATAATAAGAATTATTTTGTAATTTTTTTTTTTGTATTGTCTTATTTTTTGTATTTTTTTATTAACCAATCAAATCGAATGTCCGTTATGCTTAATTTGATTGGTTAATTATCACAGACATTCATAGATTAATAAAACTATTCAATCATATAAATGTCTGTCTATGATGGTTAAATTATTGTTACACAATAAATGATCTACATTGTTTACATTTTTTAACCAATCAAATCAAATGTCCGCCATGCTCTTATAACCTAGATGGACCTGTTGATTAACTCAGACAACCTATAAGTTCACCTGTTGGTGATCTAAATCACATTTTTTAAATAAATTATATTACTACTACAAGTTATTATTACTTTTTAATATAGAAAATAGGCTTTTTTTTTTATCGGAAAATTTGGTTTAAATAATTTTGAAAAAAGTTAATAAAATAAAATATAGTGAGATTTTATTAAATAAATATTAAATATTATATATTATAATGAAGATATATTAATCTATATATGCACTTTTGGTGTCTAATTTAAATAGTATACCCAAAGGTTTTATACTATCTGCTATACTTGTAACCCAACTACAAATATATTTGGCCTATTCTTATTTAATGTGAATATAACTTACTATATGTTTAGTAACTTTTGTAATTAGTGTTTTGACCTGTTTATTTGTGAATGACCTGTCTAGCTAATCCAGATAGATTGATGGATATTCTGGATATTTTTAGCCAATTGCTAATATTTGTTTATATTAGATAAAATAGGATTGTTAAAGTTTAATATAATTTATTTTGCCTTATATAAACAAACATTAGCGATTGGTTAGAAATACCCAAAATACTTGTTAGTTTATTTGGATCAGCCCAATAGGTCATCTACAAGTGAATGGATCAAAACACTATTTGTAATATTCTATATTTATTAGCTACCTTAAAACACTTTATTATCCTCAAAGTAATTCTTAACAAAGTAGTATATATTTCATATATATATTTATCTGTATATTTAATAACTTCTTCCTAACTAGTATCTGTTATACTACTATTATTAGGTTTATATTTTAAATCACTTTTTAGAATACTGCCATAATTCAATCTAGTGCTTGGCAAAATCAAACAAAAACTCGATTATCGAGTTTTTGAATCTATCAATTTATAGTATTGTGCTTCATTTTAGTTATCATGAAGTTTAAACTAAGATCAGATTCCTGTTAGATTTATATATATACAGTATTAAAAATAAATTTTGTATTTGATGTCTAATATTGTAAATTGATAGATTTAAAAACTCGATAATCAAGTTTTGCCGAGTGCTAATCCAATCTGTATTTTAAGCTACAATCTTTCTAATTAGTCATTCATTATTTACTTTTTGTCTTTATAAGGTTTTCAACTACCCTGGTATTTATATTTAAACTATCTTTTTATTTGGATTCTTTATTAGTCTTTTTCTTACTTCTAGTTAGCAATCTAAAAAAGCCAGTTTGCCTAGACTTTAGGTGCCTTATAGTTTTTCTTTTTTTGGTATATAATTTCAGAATATATATATTTTTTCTCTGATGTATCTAAATTGATGGTTTAGCTATATATATTCTTTTACTTAAGAATTTGGTCATTTGGTTCTCTGATTTCAGTTCTTAGCTCAAATTTAGCCTTCTTGTAACACTATTAAAAATTATTATTATATCTCAATTTAGAACTTCTCAAATGAGTTTTTAGTTATTTTAATCTTCTGTGTTTATTTGTACACCAAAGCTTCTATTCTAGATAGTATTTCAAAATTATAGATTTCTAGATTATACTGATATTTAATAATTATCAATTATAATACAAGTCTATTTTTCAAAATTGTTGTTTAAGAAATTCAAACTTTAAATCTGCTATTTAGAGAGGATAATAACTAAACTATTACACTAAATCACTACATTTTAGTAATAGAAATTAATTCTAATACTTTTTATTAACTAGTTAAAAAAAATTTTACTAGCTTGGAAAAATTGAAATTAGTATTAAATAGATATAATTTACTCTGAGTATTTTCTTGGATTGGTTGTAATAAATTTAAAAATACTATATCTAAAAAATAAAAAATACAAAAGTTAATATTTTATATTAATTAATTGTTTGTCTTTAATTTTACTACTTTTATCAATTAGCTAAAAGAATTTTTATCTGTTTGAAAGAATTAGAATTGGTGTTAAATAGATACTATTTTCTTTAGATATTTCTTGAAATAATTATAATAAATTTAAAAATATCTAGAAAATAAGAATTGATTTTAATATTTTTTTTATTAATTGGCCTAGAAAAATTAGAATTGATATTAAATAGATACTATTTACTTTGGGTATTTTCTTGAATTAATTGTAATGAATTTAGAAATATTTAAGAAATAGAAAAAGCAAAGGTTAGTATTTTATATTAATTAATTATCTATCTTTATAAAAAAATTGATTTTAATACTTTTATTAACCAGCTAAAAGAATTTCTACCAGCTTAGAAGGATTGGAATTGGTGTTAAATAAACATTATTTATACTAGATATTTTTTGAATTGATTGTAATAAATTCAAAAATATCCAAGAAATGAAAATTGTTTCTAACACTTTTTTTATCAACTGGTTAAAAGAATTTTTACCAATATTAATATAACTAATAATATAATATGCTAATATAAACAATATACTTTATAAATTTATATAAAATACTGTATACTATACTATATAAAATACAATACTGTATATTATACTGTATAAAATACAATATACTACAGTATATACAATATAATTTACTGTATATTATTAATAATATTTTTAAAAAATAAATATTTTCAAAATTTCAAATTTGTCTAAAAATAGTTAAATAAATATATATACATATAAAAAATTATTTATAATTCTTATTAATTAATTAGTACTGCGCCTATTAATATCTGGTAATTATTATAAACCTGCATAATATATGTTTTTAATCATATAGCCGGATATATAAGTATGATGATATCATACGTATTTACCCGAGTATAAATCAAATTTAAACCGTTGCAAAGTATGGCGCAAGGGATAAATATGTCGAAGAAATTTAATGTCTTTTAAATCAAAGTTCTAATCAAATAACTATTACACAAATCGCTAATCATGCCGAACAATTTACCAAAAAGGCTTTTCAAAATAATTAACCATATATATTATTTAATTGGCTTAGTCACTTATAATTTACTGTAAAAAAAGCAGCAATTACTAATAATTGTCACTCAACGAATAATAAGAGGTCACGTATACGTTGATCTTAGATCATTTACTATTGATCACATAGATCATAGCCCACACCATATCACGCAACGTTAAAAATGTAACACATAGAATTACGTAGTACATACGTACATTTTTTTTTTTTTTTTTTTTTTTTTTTAAGGAGGTGCAATTTAAACGTCATGTACGTATACTGAAATAGGAATCGGTTTTATTTGTTATATGAATAAAGCTGGGTTTAATAATATATGAACCGATTTCTGAACGGATTTCTTAAGATGCAAAGGACTTTAATACGTAATACAGCAGTTTTTATTATAAGCCGGCCGAGCTGATAACAATCCTACTCGGGCAGTAATTTTAGAAGAAATTCTACGTATCATTAAGACTACAGAGTATTTTATACTTCAAAAGTAACCCTATCAAAGTTACATAAAATGTCCGAGGAATATAATTTTCATATGAAAAATTGCCAAGTATATTTGTCTGAGTGCTCACGTGGATTTTAGGAAATCTTTCCGCGGTATAGTTGAAATTGATATCCAGTTTAGTGGAACCAAGAAAACAAGAAAACATTAGACGTCAAACTTTCAATTTCCGCGAAAACGAATGGCGTATTATTGCCATAAAGTTCAACTCGATATATCTGTCAAATGTGACCCTTCATGCGTTTAGTAAGCATATGAAAAAGGGAGAATTAAGTCACCAAGCATTGTAGTTTAACAAAGTCTTAAAAGAGATGAGAAGAGCCATATAAAGAATGGTACGGCCAATAATGACATCATAAACTGAACTTTTTATAGGTCGCATATTTTTAACCATTATAAGCTAAAGTAAATTTAAAAAGAGAAGCTTGAAAGACTTTATCAAAATCAAAGGCATTAATTGTATTATTGTGATGCAGGATTGCTAAAAAAAATAAAAAATAAAAAATAACGAAGAAGCACAGACAATAGGACAATAGAGAAACCTTTTCGTACTTTTTCAAGAATTACAATAGAGTTTAGGTTAAAACTAGCCGATAAACAAAAAACAGGAATATTCTAGATATTTTGGGATTTTGTAATTGGTAAAACCAACAACTTGGGTAACCATTGTCCAGGAAACCAGAATGAACAATACTATGGCAAGTAAATTTCAAGATTAATATGATGACTAATATATGTATATATAATATATATATGTATATATAATTATATATATATAATATATATATTATATTAAAATGGTATATATATAAATTAAGTATTAAAATGAGTCTAGCTACTTACTAATACATAATACAGTAATACAGTAATAGGTTGAAACCCCAGGGATTCTTGACAACACGAGAAAAAAACATGATTGACGTTTAAAGTTTCGAATGGAGAAACCCGTTACAAAATATTACGGCATAAATGTTTGTTTGGTCGGGTGACCATTTTGAACTACATAAAGGCCACGGCGCACCAACCTGAAATGACATTGACATTTGAAATCTACATAAAAAAAAAATTGATAAACAATTAGACATTTGATATTTCCAAGCAATTCTCCTGTTGCGTGTGACCATGATATATTAATGTTCACCTGCCCGAAATTGCTTTTTCAGCTGAAATTACTAAATTTGAAAGAGTGGTGTAACATTGATATTATTTCACTGTCAGGTGGCCCAAAGCAAATAACAAACATGCAGGCGTCAATATGATCACCAACCTCGATATTATCACTTGTTATCACTTGGTTTATTTTATACAGTAATTTTGTTTTTAGTGATACGTACAGTACAAAATAGTAGAATAAATAAATATATAGTGAACAAATAATGAATAAAATTTAAATGGTCGAATAATTACAGTATAACTGATAAATCTTTATGTAGACATTAGTCATCTTGGTGGGTGACATCCTAATAAACGAAGTTAGCAATGTGACAATAGAGAAATTACCAATTAATTACGACATTATTTTCATCTATGATATTTTTATTTTTATTTTTCTTATCTTATCAAGGTAGATGTTAAAACATAATTCTGGAAAATTTTTGGTTATCATGATGATTTTGATAATCGAAGAGGTTATCGACGCCCAGATATAGTAGTGGTAGATCGAATATTGTTATAATAACTACTGTGCAAGCATTACTATTGGTAAAGTGATGAAGCTCAGGTGATGATAGAATGACGTACTGCCACTGCCGCATTTTTCGAATGTAACCAATGCACGCTATTATAAAATTTTATTTATAAATAAATAAAGTTGATCAGTTTTTCGCATATTTTTTTTTCATAATTTATATTTTTGGTTCATATATTTCCATATACAAATCAGAAAAAAAAAAAAAAAAAACATTAGACCTCTCGATTCTTTTATTTTCCTTGTCATCCACTGCACAAAAAAAAAAAAAAAAAAAAAATATCCTTCGTTGATATTCATTGCTATTCAATAAAAGCACACGTTTTCGCCTCTTCCCCTTTTTTCTTTGTCTTCTTTCGTGACCCTACGATCTAAATCTAAATCTCCATCGTCCTTTTCCTTTTACTTACGCTTTTACATATATTCATCCATCCACGTCTTATAGAAAGATAGATACATAATATATATATATATTATTATATTTATATATATATTATATTTTAATTTTCTTTTTTACGACATATAATGAGCCATTTGATTGGGGAAAAAATTGCCAAATTTAAACTTCTTTACAAAGATAATGAACCTGTAGTTGATGACTTACAATCTGTTCTTGTAGACTTCCTTCCTGAACTTCAACAAAAATTAAATCTTGACTTTGTTCAAGTTGAACGTATCAGACAATACATCAATGATAGAGGTGATTTATTATTTTTTATTATTTTTGTTTCTTATTTTTATTTTTTATATTTTATGAATAAAATTTTGACTAATCTACTCTTCTAATCTACTCTTCATTTAGGTACTCTTTTTCGTTTCCTTAGAAAAGCTAATTTCAACTTCGATGTCGCCTCGAAGGCTTTAATGTCCAACCTTCGTTGGCGTGCCGAAAACCACGTGGATACTATCTCTCTCCAAGATGTTCCTCGGGATTTTGTTGAAAGGGGTCTTTTCTTTTTTCATAAAACTGATAAATTCAATCGTCCTTGTGCCATTCTTAACTTACGTGAATATGTTCGCGAGGATGGCTCTCCTTCTCTCAATGAAGTAAAGAAATATATCATTTTCAATGCTGAGGTAGCCAGAAGGATGTTATTGGATAAGTCTAAAGAATCAAGAGATGGTCCAGTCTTGCAATATGTCATTTTATTGGATTTGAAAGGTGCTGGTGTTTCTGCTTTGGTAATTATATAATACATATATATTATATATATATTTTTTTTTCTCACGCACAAGCCATTAGCCTAACTTTATTTTTGCCACCTTACCTATATCTGTATATTAGAGCCTTGACTTACTCCGTTTTACAACTGACGTTTTTCGCCATCATTTTCCTGGTTCTACTGGTGCCAGTAAGTTTTTAACTTTTATTTTATTATTAATTTATTTTATTTTTTATATATATTTATCATTATATCTTTCTTCATTTTTTTTTTTAGTATTTGTATTGAATTATGGCTGGATGTACTCAGGAATGTGGAAACTTTTCAAACCTATCCTTCCTGAGGATGCTTTGAATCGTATTTTTTTCCTTTCGGAAAATAAAGAACTCTTAGACTATTTCGACGAGGAAAATGTTTTGATTGGTACGTCAATATTAATTAATTTCCCCACGTTTTTATTATCTTCCCTTTTATGGTCATCTCTCGTGATTTCCCAAATAATTTCATTTCCATGTGATTATTTCCCCAATATCCTAATTTATCTAATTTATCTAATTCTGTAATTTATCTAACTTATATTTTCATTATCTATTTACCCTTCGTTACTAAAAAAAAAAAAAAATTATTAGAACATGGTGGGTCTGATACTTATGAATATGATTTGGATACATACAAAACGTACCAATATTACGGAAACCCACCCCCTCTATTAAGTAGAATTCCATCATATGATTCTCTTAATGATGAATTCTTCTCTGCTCCAACTACTCCATATCACAGTCGACCTCCAACCCCTAAACCTTCCCCCGGTTTAGATCACGTGCCAGCTTGGCTCAGAATGACCCAACTTAACATGTCTCCTTCTGCACCTAACGAATTCAGATCAAATATCATTTCTCCAAGTCCTATTAGGCCAACTCTTCGTTCTCCAACTCATTCGTCATATTTTTGTTTCACCCCAATTAATCAAGATGTATCCGCATTACCGTCGCATTTTAATCAACAACCTCCTATTACTCCTACTACTCCTACTACTCCTACTATTGTAATCAATTCCGCTCCAAATGATAATGTTGCTCGTCTACGGAATGATTCTGATTCTACTTTTAATGATATTGCTTATGCGCAAAAGATTCAAAGACCTCGTTTTTCGAGATTTTATAATCTTTTATCCTTATCAACTGAATTAAAGTTTTACTTGCAAAAACTATTAAAAAGATTAGTCGCTCGTAAAGTATCGGGCGTATTATATTATTTAGTAATCGTAGTTATACTTCGTGGTGGGTTAGTTGATGATTTTTGGCGATTTTTAACTCAGCAAGTAACTATGCAACTTGGATGGAGCGCAAGTACCACCACTGCTCTTACGACTGCTGCTTTATCTACCGCCTTAAGTGGTCGTACGAACAATAGATTATTATTAGGTGTTTATTAATTCTTTTAGAATCGATCACTGTTGGATTTAGTAATTTCCATTTGGATGTTGGCCAAATTGCATATGAAAAAAAATCTTCTTTTGTGATCTGTAAGATCTGTACGTGTATATGGATTTTTCTTATTTTTCTTTTAAGGAAAAACGAATATTTAAGGGAGACGGAAAAAAATAATTATATATGAGGCTTCTTTTACAAAAATATGATTTTATGAAACAAATTTACGTAGTTAAATGGTACGTATGACAAGAATACACTTTTTTAAACAAGTGAAAAAAAAATAACTTTAATCATGCATTAAAAAAAAAAAAAAAAAAAGCAAGGAAAGAATCGGGAAACCGAAATAAAATTACAAATTATTCTAACGTGGTAGCAATTAATATGTAATGTAATTTCATATCCTTTTGCATGTACAAATTTTAATTTTCACACCCTTTTTTTAAATTATAGATTAATATGTTTCTCGTGTAAATTTTTTTTTATAGAATGTAATAAAAAAAAAGACTTTACTGTTAATACAATAATTATGTACATACTTTTTTCTTTTCTATTATTATTATTATAATTATTATTATTATTATTTTTTTTTACAATTAAAATACAGTCATTTGATAGAAAGTATACATTATAATTTTAAGAATTTTGCCACGTGTTAATTTATTGCAGTATATGCAATGCAAAAGCTATAGCGAAGATAATATAATGTGTGATTATCTAATTTTGAATTTACCGGGAATAAAATAGTAAAAATCTGACAAAGAAGTTAAATATATAAATATATACGGTATATGCTGTATATATTGTATATATTATACAATTATCGTTACCGGTACATATATTTGAGGCAAAAAAATTTATATTTTAAGAAATATTAATTATAACTTGCATTTAGAATTGACTATATTACTTTAAGTATAACCAATAAATTATTCTATTTCACTTTTACCAACACACACATACACATATAGTGGTTTATCACCAAAGTTGTTACGTTGTCTAAAAACTAGCTAAGTAAAAGAAAATAATGTTTTATTATAAGTTCTCCATTACAGCATTAATAGCAAAAATTTATAAAAATATGATTTGATAATCATCACGTGAACGTCGTGAACATGTGAACACGTAATTCACCAAGTCGCGTCGTTAACAACTATGTTGGCGTTTTTTATTTTTATAACCTGCCTTGGTCTTAGCTCTTTGCTTTTGACTAGAGCGGGTGGTGGATTTTATTTATTGTTTTCGCTTCTTAACAATATATTAACAACTTATTACTTAATATATTGTTGGAGTATTTGGCTCACATATAGTTTAAGACCGCCTGTTTACTGTTACCTCGTTCCTCTAGTTATATCTACGGATATCTCTAAGTCTTGGTAACCAGTATTCCACGTAAAGGGTAGACAAGCTTAACGCATTGTCATGCCTGGCAAGTACAAACCCCCGTAGCCCAAATCATCGTATAAACCTATAGTATCTAGTCGACTATTACTCCATTATTTTTACAAAGATTTTTTTCGTGATTTGTTTTTTTTTCTACAGATTTGGGGCCAGCGGCTCATTGTTTTATGTCTCCTTTTAGATAGATTTACTTACCTTCCTTTATATTTCATACAATACGGTTTCTTGGTGCTCGTGCAAATGACATATATCAAATCGCTGGTCTAGTAGCAGGCTGCAAAATATCTCAAACTGCTGTCTGTCCTTGTAATCAGCTACAAAGTTTCTTTTTTTAAAAAAACAAAAGATCTATTAAGATTCGTTGGTGTAACGAAAAACGGCTTGGGAAATGTGTTGATGGAATGCTTTCACAAGGTGAGTATTGATTTAGCTCTTATTGTCTAGAACTGGGGAATCCAAGCCTTTACTGAATTTCAGAAATTTGGATTATCTTCCTGATTTAGGTTTGGAATTTTGATTTTAATTTACTTTGATAATATACATTAACTGACTTTTGTTTTTTAAAATTTGGCGTAGTTTTAGTGTAAAAACTTTAATTTTATCGACTAAATTAGCTAAACTTTAATATTATTAAGTTATATGCAATAGTTACTCTCTTTATGTGTAATAACAAAATCGATAATAAAATCCATATTTTAGTCCACGTGTCAACAAAAGACAATTTGCTACGTTAAAATTTTATTTTCTATTTTATATTTAACTATCACGTTTGTGATGACTTCTTTTTGCATAGTTTTATTGTGTGTTGTCAATTTATAATCAACAATTTTATATAATACTGTGATACTGATTGATTGTATATTTAATATAAATAGTAATAGATAATACTGTAGATAGATTATCTAATTACGTTATTCTTAGCGATAAGGGACATGTCACATATATGTTAAAACTTGTAATAACGATAACAAAACATACGTACGTATAAAAAATTTACTATAGACATCACTTATGTAGTAAAAAAAAAAAAGTTGTACAAATTAATTGTTAAATTAAGCATGATCAAAATTAAAGATTATCTACTCTTATCTCTATTTCATGAATCTGTTTTTTAACCATTTTAAACCTGCTTACGTGAAATTCAAAACATTTATTTGAAAGAAATATTTGTATTAGCGTTATCTTTATCAGATGCTACAGTATGTTGCCATTGTCTAATAAAGTTCGGTTTTTTTTGGGATGAAATATAGTATGGGTGATATTAATCGTTCATTGGATTAAAAATTTCTATATACTGCATATAAAAAACTCGTGTAACAATTCTTTGTTAACTAATGTAAAATAAATATCCAATCAAACCCGAATTTCCATAAATATACTGGTGTTGCTATAAGAATCGACAACCAATTAGAAGGATTTTAATCACGCTGATCTAGAACCATTCAAATATGTCTTTTACTTTGGTAAGTTAAGAAAGGAGGGGCTCTGAAACACTTCGCACTCAATAGATCAAGGAAATTTTAATTAATCAAAAGTTGAATAAAATGACCAAATGAGTTATCATTTCGATGAAAAAAACAGAAAGACATTTTCATAGAATTGTTTTAGTTTAAATTTTAAATCCGTATTTAGCACCATGAATTTTTAGCAAAAATCGTTCTAAAGATCATTTTAATTAATCGCAAATTAATGGCAAATCCACTGAGGGAGCTACTTAAGAACTCCTAAAACCTGTTAAAAATATTCACAATCCAAGATATGCATTTCGATACTCGAAAACTAGAAAACTAGAAAATGGGCATTTGTATATCCGCATACTCAATAATTTACATTTTATAATGTAGCAATAATAAATGGATACAACTACAAAACCACAAACACAAGACCTTCCACGATCCGGTGGATTTCCCTCTGTTCGATATAAAAGAAATTTGCCACACAAAGGTCCTTCAGGACTTGTTATATTTACAGTTCTTGGCGCCATTAGCGCTTATGGTTTTTATCGAGTAGGACAAGGAAATTTGGAGAAACGGTAAATAGTATTACATTATTAATCTTTTACCAACAATTTTTAAGAATACACTAATTTAATATAAATAAATATAATTTGTGATTCAGTGAACTTCGCCGTGAACACCTTTGGTCGCGTATACATTTAGTTCCATTGCTTACAGCTGAATTGGATCGCGATACGTATCGTCGTAATTGTGCTGCATTAGCACGTGAAGCTGAAATAATGAAAGATGTACCAGGATGGAAAGTAGGCGAAAGTGTTTATAATACTAAGAGATATGTAGGACCAACTCAAATTGTAGTCCCTGAACCAAGTTAATTATTGAGAAAAAAACAGTAATATGTTAGTATCATTGTACTATATAAAATAATATATATCAGGCATTTACGATTAAAAAATGAATCAAAATTCGATCTTTTTTTTTTTACTAATTACTGTTATAGGATCAAAATTTTGATCACTCAAAATATTTAGAATAAAACGAACCATTAAAACAATGATACAATAATAAATCAACTATGACTGATTTTTATTTTTTCGAGCTAAATATCTAGCCCTTGCATCAGATATAGCTTGTTCATCGTTCTTTCTTGCGAATTGTTTTAAAAGTTCTTCCTCTCGGACCTTTTCTTCTGCTTCTTTTTTCTGTTGAGTTTCCAAAATTTGCTGCTCCAGTTCTTTACTCTGTCGTTCACGGCGTCTCATCTCACTACTATGTTTTGAGCTATATCTATCTACATCTTTTTTATTATAATAATTTGTCCGTGAATCTTTATTTTGCAACGATTTTGATGAATTCATTTGCTTCTTGGTAACATTGAGCCCTGGTGACAAAAGTTGCCTTTTATCTACTATTTGTTCGTCGTCGTTCAATATTACCATTTTACCAGTCGCCCGTGCTTTATCCGCAAGTTCTTTATCAGTTTTTAAATGTTTATTATCTTCATCAGAGTCGTCGGATGCTGAACTGGAACGTGTGCGTTTTTCTGTTTTTTTAGATGATAATGCCAAACGACTTGCTTCAATGGCTGCAGCTTTTGCCGAACTGGTTTGATCCAATAAATTTCGATAAAAATTGGCCATATTTTTCCCTCCCACTCCATCATTTTTTTCTAAATATGATAAATTGGTAAATCAAATTATTTATTATTATTATAACAAAATTAACTTAAATATAATAGTTTAACAATACCTCTCTGTTTTTCTTCTTCTTCAGCTTTTCTCAACTCTTCTTGTTGTTCCTTATATCTATTATTTTCAAAAAAATAAATTATATGTTTTTTTAAAAATATTTAATCACGATTTAAATATATATAAAATGACTTACGCTGATGTGACGAAAGTTTCTTTATCCTCAAATTCATCCCCTTCAGCCTCTCGTTCTTTTTGAATCTTACGTTCTTGGGCACGAACATAATCTCGTTGTCGAATTTCTGCAGCTTTTAATATATCTTCAACATATTTAGGCTATAAAAGTAATATTTTTAATTCTGCATTAATGTCGAATTATATATAACTTATAAAGAAATAAAGAAAAGATCTTACCTTTTTGGCGCTACCAACGTTCTTCCCCTTAAGCTCTTCCTTTCTTTTTCGTTCAACGCTTTTCATATCATCGTATACTTCATCATAGGCAAACACATTAGGATCTTCTTCTAAAGCTGCTTTATACTTTTCTTGAACTGATTGATTTATTGTTTTGGAAGAAGATAATTGTTGATTAACAGTTTTAGTGTAGTGGTTTTTATTAGAACTCGTATTAAGGCTAGAATCTTCATTATTGTCCTCTTCAGTGAAAACTGAAATTCTTTTTATGGGTGTTTTTTTAGATCCGACTATGTTAAGTCCGTACTTTAAAGGTTGTTTTTGTTCCATGTCGACGATTTTAAAATTTTGTATGTATATACCCGATCAGGGGATGTGTCACGCCGTAGGCAATTGTTAAAATTTAACAGATTTCTTATCGTTATCGTTATATTACAAACTTTTTAAATGCGCTTAACAGAGATGCGAGTTTTAGCCTTTTGTTTTATTAATTGGAAAAATTGCAATTTTTAGTGTGACTAGGTTTAAAGAATCTCGAATCGAAACCAGGTAATTGAATTAAAAATAGTAAGCACAGCAGAATCAGCTAGTAAATATTTCTTGAGATATTTAGAAGATTAATTTCAATTTGAACTATTAGATTTTTCAAAAAGTTTGTTCGGATGGTGTGAAGGAATTTTTAACACTGTTATTCACATGCTCAAATTATAAATCAATTTTTGATATTAAAATTTATTAATTTCCAATTCATTGTTTAAAAAAATGTATCGCTCGTCTAAAAACCTCTACCGGGTTACCTGCCATAACGTTATCCGGATCACCTGAGTCATTTAAAAAACTGCGCCACTTCGGAATACATACTAGCAGTTAACCCGTGGCTTTGCCACAGGAGTTTAATAAAAATTTAATGGATTGGATTTACTATTTTGTACTAAAAATAGTACATTTTATAAAATTCATAGAAGCATCAAAACTTATTAA